CCAGCAGCAGCAGCAACCAGCAGCAGCAGCAACCAGCAGCAGCAGCAACCAGCAGCAGCAGCAGCAGCAACCAGCAACCAGCAACCAGCAACCAGCAACCAGCAACCAGCAAACCAGCAAACCAGCAAACCAGCAACCAGCAATGGCGGCGGCGGCAGCGGCAGCGGCAGCGGCAGCAGTGGCGGCGGCGGCAGCAGCAGCAGCAGCAACAGCAAAGCAGCGGTTGCAGCACAGCAAAGCAGAAAGCAGCAACAGTGGCAGCAGCAACAACTAAGCAACCAGCAGCAGCAGCAGCCGCAGACATGCTACCTTTCGTCCACCCCCATCTCCTCAAGTTATCGTGGAATATTGCTGCATAGAAGAAGGCGATCGTTTTTGGACATTTGGTCTACTGACCAAGTTGATGTGACTTAACTAGACCAAAAAAAAAAATTGAATTCCGTCTCCAGTCATGACAACCAATGTACAGTATCTCAGTGAAGAACTGAATAGTGTAGCCCAGTAGTATGCCTTCACGTGCTATCACAAGTTCCTTGTTCTTGCAGAAGATAACATTTTTTGTTAAGGCGAAAATGGTCAAGCAGATTGCCAAGACTGGCTGCAATGTGCTTTTGGTACAGAAATCCATCCTGAGAGATGCTGTGACTGATCTTTCGCTCGACTTTTGCGCGAAGGCAAGGTGACAAAAGAAAACATTTATGCACAAAGTCTTTGGAACTCTCCAAGTTTGGCCAACGGATCCCAATCCATTAGGTTGGAGGCCATCGCTCTCAATTAGGTTGGAGGCCATCGCTATTAGGTTCCTTTTAATGTTTCTTTCTTAAAACTTCAATGAGTGCCTCTCCCTCAGACCGAGAGGCCAAGATCATGGTCGTCAAGGACATCGAGCGGGAAGACATTGAGTTCATCTCGAAGATTTTGGGCGTAGAGGCGGAATTGTTGGGAAGCGGTTTCAGATGGTCTCAAACTGCCTTTGTGCGGTGTTGAGCCGGCAATCTGATGTTAAATTGTGCTTGAAGGCAGCTTTCATGTGGCAGAAGGTGAACGATCATATGTGATATAGTTCCAAAACCAGTGTTCTAAGACGGGTCATTGATTTGTGCGGTCACAAATATCCGTTGGTGAAGGAAAGGAAACATAGATTCACTATACCAAGTGACTGACATGGGTTCTGGGAAGGCAGCCGCCACTTTGGACACCTTCACACCAGATAAGTTGGCAAAGGCCGAACTGGTGATGGAAGAAAAGCTGGGATCAGAGACTCTCGTCTTATTAGCATTTGTGATGTAAAATGTATTTGTATGTTGTCATCAAGGTGCTTGGACCACATGGTTTTCGGCTCTTCCTGACATGTGAATGGTCCATGTGAGGTTGGGCAGCATCGTTCGCTTCACCGGCCTGCAGAGCTCCAAGGAGCTTGTTTCAGCTGTCCTTTGAGTCGAGAGCATCCTTTTTTCTGCCCGCCCTGAGTCGAGTAGCTGCCTAGTTCATTAAGTAAGGGTTAAACAAACTACTAGGTAACCTGCTACTAGCTGGGACGCAGGATAGCTCACGCTTGCACTTTTCATTTGATTCCTATATGTTTGGGAAACTTGACAAGATTGGCTGTACAGGGTGGATGTGTCTCTGTGCTGGTGCGTGCATCCAATCAGATGCTGCTGGATGAGACTGAGAGGCGAGTTTTCAAGATCAACTCGATTCCTGGGACGAAGAGCGGGCCAACAAGAGCGTGGGCAAAAGATTCTACTAGGAGCAAGGACGCTACTAGGGGCTCCTGGCCTTACTACTACCAGTAGTAACGAGAAGCTACTAGTAACAAAGGGCATCGCTACTAGGAGCAAGGACGCTACTTAGGCTACTATTGTGTTAGCGATTGGGCCTACCCTTGCAGGTCTATCCACGATGCGCTTTGTGTAGTGCGAAGCTTGGTCAAGAAGAAGGCATTCCAATGTGTGTTTTTCAAGAAAAAAATCCAAGTCAGTGTGGACGTGTAGATGAACAGATGGAAATACATCATACTATCATGTGTTCTTCCAAATCCCATATGTGGGCCAGGCGCTCATTGCTGGTGGTGCAGCGCCAGAAATGGAAGTTGCACAGAAGTTGGATGCATGGGCCAGGACCCTCTAGTGTGCTTGATCACAATGCGTATAGGCTAAGAGGAATGTTTTTCAAGTGGGCGAGTCGGCACATTATGAATGAATGCGTTGAAGAGACATGACAGGACAATTGGTGGCATTACACAAGTATGCATTGAGCACTACGCTGAAGCTTTGGAGCTGGAATCTATTCTGCATGGAGATAGAGATAGAGAATGGGCAAAAGAGAATTGCAAACAGTTTTGTATACATTCTAGTTGCATGCCTTATGCCTTTTGGAGATTCATATCAATATAAGTCCATGTTGTTCAATGTGAGACTCGCAGGTGCCCTACACCTTGGCAGAGAACGCAGGCATGCAGCCTGTAGAGATCGTGACGCAGCTGAGAGCTGCGCATGCCAAGGGCGAGAAGTTTGCTGGTATCAACGTGAAGTTTCTTGGATCGGATAGAATTTTGCTGCAGAAATGGAATCATTCCTTGGCAGCAATGCACAAGAAGCGTACTAATGCAAAGTTAGGAGGTCTGGAGGAGGGATGTTCTTACTTGTTTTACATTAATGCTTCGTAGATATTCGGAGCCAAGCTATGGAACTTGATTCAGTTTTGTGTGTATACTTTTTGCAAGGGTTGTTTACGTTTGTATGACGTTCTGACATGACGTTTGTGCCATGGTGCATCATTGGTGAGAGATTCTGAGATGTACTGAAGGAAGGGTTGTATCAGCGACATGTTCCAAGAGAACGTGGTGCAGCCTTTGTTGGTATCCACAAGCGCCATCAACATGGCCACAGAGACAGTAGCTGCGCCGCAATGTATGTCTTGCTTCCATGGGCATGTCAGAGCTGTTTCATGTTTTTTTCTTGCCATCTATAATAGCAAGAAGCTACTAGGAGCAAAGGTCATCTCTACTAGGAGCAAGGACGCTACTAGGGGCTCATGGCCTTACTTACTAGTAGGAACAATGTTTGCTATTAGAAACAAACAATAAATCTATAGCATATCAGTTCATCTCCCAAGTCGTCCGACGGTCGTCCTGCAGACGAGGTGCGAATGATCCTGAAAATTGATGACATTGTCCTGACTCGATGACGCTGTCCCCTGGGGTTTTGGGACCTGCAGACACATGCAGACGCCACAGAGTCAGTAGTCAGACAAGACCTGCACCGACCTGCCTACGCGCCGGGAGGGAAAAGAGCAGTTGTGGGCCACATAGCTCATATATTACATAAATATATATATATTACTATAAATGTATATATATATATGCACAGTACATTCTAAGCTTGCCTGTGCCTGATTTTTGAACAGGCTGAGAGTTGCAAATCTATTTTACCACAAGGTGATTTTGGAATATGTGGGTATGTTATACATATGTGTGTGCGGTGGTGCGTGACTCGACGGAATGTCATTAGTTATTGTTTCCTTGCTTGCTGGCATGCTATCTAGCTAAATTACTTTTTTGATTTATTGTTTATCCCAGTTGTTTTGGGGCCTCTTGTAATGTTTGCATTGGCATGTTTGTAGTATTTCCAAGTTGTCACCCGTTGTAAGCTCTTTTTCAAGGTCTTGGCATCCTACAAACCGGGTGATGCAGAGAAACTGGGCATGGATGCCCAGCGACTTCGAGCAAAACATCCGCAGCTGATTTATGTGGGGAGGCCTGGGACAAGTAGAACATTCTATGTCGGCAGAACATCTGAAGAATCCATCGAATGCAGGGACGGATGGAGCGTGACGGAACGAGGAAAGAAGCATCATTGCTTGGCCTTTTCAGCATGTTTTTGCATGGCTTTGCTGGTTGCGTAAAGTCGTTGGAATCTTGAGGCTCAGATCACGGGATATGGTCTCAAGGATCCTCGCGTGGGCTATGATGCAGTGGTGCAGGATCGGTTTGTTTCGAGAATGTCATCTAAGTTCAGGAGCCCCTAGCAGCTTCTTGTTCCTAGTAAATAGCTTCTTGTTCCTTTTCTATGAATATGTTGTAGCCAGTGGCACCTGTACATCCGAAGGTGCTAATTGGCCTACCATAGAAGCTTAGAGGTGCTCAAAGGAGGCAGTTTATGAATTCGTCGCCTAACGGGCTGATTTTAGTCTCGGCTGATCTGCCTGATGAGCCACAGTCATTGATGCTGTCTCCTTTACTCAGTGACTGCAGGCGGAATCGGGCTTTACTTTCATGAATGGAAGTCCTGGTGAGGCCTCTAGATGCTGGAACAGCTCAACTGGGTCGGTATGTTTTTGGTTCTGGCTCCAAAGGAAGGTTGGTCAACTCAGGGCAGAAATGGCGTTGTAGGTATTGTATAATATTGTATACAGATCAGTACTGCTTTTCTGAGTGGTTTGATTGCATGAGTATTAGTATCATGAACCTCGAGCTGCATCCTTGGCAACTGATTTGCTTGAGGATACTATTGCATTCTAAAATCAAACAACATCTACCATTGAACCTTTTTGTACCTTTTTTGTAGAAAAGACTGCTTCAACACGTGTGCCCGTTCTTGCCAGGCAGGTCGCCCAACAAAAATGCCTGTAGCCCTGGTGGACTTGCTAGCAGCGCATCAGCTCAAAGAGGCCGGGCGTGCGCGCTGGGAGTTTATTGGGTGAGTCACAGCATTCATTGGAAGTGCCTTTTCAATCCTTTTCATGCTTTGCTTTTCTGCACAATGCTACTCAGAATTACTCAGATAGAGTTCTTGAAATGCTTCATGTCATTTCGATTTTGGGAGAACGGGCAGGGTGGTTTGGCACGGGCAAGAGTTTCTCTTAGTCTCAACACAGTTGGCTGACGGCCTTTGAGGCTGTTCTGCTGGCGCTTCTACAACGTGAACGGACTGGTGAAGGTGCCAGAAGACGGTTTAGCTGCAAGAAGGCTTGCACGATCAGGAGAAGAACACCATCTTCAGAGGTCCTTTTGTGGAGTTGTTCTAATAAACCACAATAAAATTGACACGTGCCGGCTCAAGTCGATACCTGAACAGGAATGCCTGTTGCTCAACATGAAATCATTCACCAATCATCAAAGAGAGTTCCCCTGACCAGGACATGCCACAAGACCCCAGCGACAGTCCACGACCCCCCCCAAGCAGCCCATAGGTATCGTGATGTATAGTGATAGTGCAACGATGTGCAACGATGTGCATTTAGGAGCAAGGACGCTACTAGGGGCTCCTGGCCTTACTACTAGGAGCAATGTTCGCTACTAGGAGCAAAGCACGCTACTAGGAGCAAGGACACTAGTAGGTTATAGTGATTATGGTGCAACGATGTGCAACGATGTGCACCCTATGATTGGATTGGAAGACATTTGATGTATCCCACGATGGGTGCCATTTGATGTATGTACCTACATCAGTACTAATAAGCGACGCGGGAGTGCACGGCCAGGAAAGTTATTGAGCCCGTGTTCTTCAGTTTGCTCACTAGATGACATGTTGACATTTTGATCATCCATTTAGATCATCTAATTGGTGAAACATTGTTTGAAAGAGTGCCCAGCTCTCAACTTCAGTTCAGTAGGTAGGTCCCATCCAACATGTTCTTGCATATTTGACTTCTCGGGTCAGAAATGTGTGTTGCTACACAGTTTACAAGACAGCCTTTGAGGATCTTTGAGGCAAGAACGCAATCTTATTTGTTGAAGACGTGATGCTGTTCACATTGGAGGTGCGCACGTCCACGTCTCGCTTATGGCGGCGGCATTGTCATCACTGGCCAACCAGGCCCCTGCACTAGGGAGTAGCAGATACTGTGCCTCAGCCAAGCTTGTTGACCTCATGTCTTTGACCAGATTTTGCAGCTGTGGTGAGCTGTCCTGGTTCAAAACAAATTAACTATTTATGGATAATTCATGCCAGGCGACTGGCTATTTGATTGCCGGGCAAGTGCCGCAGCGCATGGGTTCTGCTGCTTGGAGCTGTATCTAGGGCATACAAAGGTACGGAGATCCAAACACGGAATCACAGATTGGATCAACGTTGATCAGCGAATCTACCGTTCCAATCCCGGAAAGATCTAAAAGGAATTTAAATAGAAAAACATGCCAAAGCCAAAAGCAGGAAAGATTCCAACAGGTTTTGAGCAACACAAGCATACTGCTGAGGATCATCCATCCATTTGCCCCTACGGCACAGACTTTCTCGATCAGGCCAGTATAAAGTCCAGAAATGTTGACTGTCCAAACTATTTTTTTCGATTATTTGATTTGCCAAATGTCTTTTATTTCGAACATGTATTTGCATTTGTCCTTTCTGACATAGTCACACGGATCAAATCTGGTCACTCAATGTCACTAGAAATCCGGGAAAATCTTGAGAATCATGTTAGTTCGATGCTAATCACCTGGTTGAGAGATGTTGTAAACCATGCAGTGTCACACACTTTTGGAATGGTTTATGTTCCTATTTTCCCCAAAATATGTTTCCAGGATGGTCTACCGATTATTTTGGCAGCCAAGCTCTCAGTTTGCCGGTTTGTCATATGTGTGCCCGAGTCCTGCCGCCATTGATGCTCTTTTGACTTGCAGCAAAAAGATCTTTATGCAAAAAACTTATTGTATCTATGCCATGCTGAAAGAGAGGCAGAAGATAGTGGAACGATGTGGAACGGTTTGTTTTCTTAAGAGAATACTTACTAATCAAGTTCTTCCTGAGAGTTTTCAACCTAAGAGTTGTGTTGTATCAATTGGACTACACCATTTTATTGAAGGCGACAAATACTATGTCAGACTATTTCGCGTGACAGTGATGAGTTGCTAGCTAAAGTCTCCGTGTTGATGTGCCTCAGTTGTGAGCATGATGCCAAAATGCACCATACTTTCAATTGAGACCAAGGAAAGGATTGTAGCTCCATGTGTCATACGGGACCAAAGGAGTATGCAACATTTGTGATCAGGATTACAGAAGTTTTTTTGTGACCTGTGACTGCAACCATAGACAAGTCTTGTACCCATCGCTGTTAAAGCTTTTGTCCAAACAGACAGGAAGAACGCATCGTCTTTAATCATGTGCAGTATTGGAGTCGTTTCTCTCAATCAAGGGCCTCTAGTATAGTGCATGTATAGCGAAGTGTCGATGATCTTCGGCACCTGGCAGTAGTTGAATATTGAGGTGGGGTCGGATGCGCAGTTTCGCAGCCTTTGCGAGGTGCTTCTTGGGGTTCAGCATGTGATGGCTTTAGTCAAATCACTTGCCCTGGTAAACAAACTCTTGGAGTCACAGCCACTTCAATAGCAAGTTCAGAGTCTCATCAATTGATACCTTTTGGCAGCTACAGCTCAATCCTGTGGGATTGCGGCTTTGGCAGCCTCACTTAGTCCAGGTATGCCGAGCTGTGAGCAAGTGACAGTACAAGTCTTGTGTTCTATGTGGAACACCTGTCTCAGCCTGTCTCAGTCCAGCAATCAGATGGCAGAACACGCAGGTCTTAAAGCGAAGCGAGCTTGCAGACTGTCCCCGCTTTGCCTCCAACGCAGAACGGGTGGCAAACCGCCAGGAGTGACACTGGGGCTAGCGGCTAGAGAGGGTTTTTGGCTTCGGTAGGGTAGCTGTTGCATGTACTTGCACACCTCTTGGCAAAAGGGCCTTGGAAAGAAATCCTGCAACTGCACCGTCCATGTGGTTTGGACAGTGGATGACAGACAGCCAAGAGTCAAGATCCTTGAGTTTTGCCAGCTCTGCAACAACAAATCCGTGCTGTTTTTTCGTAGACAACAGATTTGCAAAGCGCAGAGACCAAGGAGCTTCTGTCACTCTTGGCCTCAGCCATTGCCGAGACCAAGCGGGACGAATTGCTTCTGGAGCTGCGGCGGCGCAAGGAGAACCGGACATGTGTTCTGTGATGTGAACATTTCGGACAAAGAGAACATGTTTTCTTGTTGCTACTCGGTAATATGGTTGTTTTGTCGTTATGCACAGGCAGGCTTCTAGCCAGTTACAGTAAACGTGTTGTTTATCGCGTTTGTGTTGTGTTTGTTGAACTCGCAGTTGAACTCACCACATGACTGACTTGCAGATAGTGTCGACAGGTCCCTGCAGGTGCCATAGCTGATATGGCCACTGTTTTTCAATCAGACCAAGCACAGGCCTGAAGCTCAGCTGGGTAAGGGAATGCACAGTGATTGAATGTGATGGATATCTTCAGAAAGAGCTGCAAGGAAAGCTGATGCGCACATGATTTGATCGATCTCAACATTCTAGGAGAAGAACGGATGAAAAGGAAACAGTACAGTAATATAGGGAGCAATTTGATACATCTTTTGAATCGTTGATAAGCCCCTCAGGCCATGGTGCTTCCAGATGGGAATTCTTTGGGGCTACGTCAGGCGAGTAGCGAATGCGATGGCACGCAAGCACCAGCACAGTGAGCCCATGGCAGGTAGCCTGGGATGGTCATCAACGAAAGAAGCTGAAAACCTTGCCAGGCTGGAACAGAGCTGTCGGACCTTGCTGTTTTGCTTATCTACATGCTGTTCAATTTTGTTGGACGGACCAGGATTGGGGTTTCTCATGCTGTTCAATCTTTTTGGAGGTGTGATGAATGGAGCATCCCCGACAGACTTGTAGCGGACATTGTCACCAAGCCGTCCTTAGTCCATGTAGAGTCCATGTGGATTTGTAAGATTATGTAACGTATTTCTGTTGCTGTGGATCACCCCGGTCAGTTCCCAACTTGCTGAGGGTCACCGCGGCGGTTGTGGCATTAGCTGCTCCTAGTGACAGATTTGAGATCCGGGAGCAAGACGACAATCACCATCTACACGTTACTACAGTACACTGTTACACGGAAGAGTTGCAGGTTTTGGAGAGCACTCCATCGAGATTTTGACTGAGGCAGGATAGATCTTTTGTTTTGGGAGATGGGGCATGCAACAACATCTACTGCCACCGCTCCAGCCACGCCCATTCCTTTCTTGATTAAGTGTTGACGGTTGGTAATGTCGAAAGATACATCAAAGCACCTGGTCTTGCGTGGCCCTCTCCCGTCTCCAACGTAGGGATTTCATGTTGTTTGGTTCTCTCGGACTTTGGTTCGTGTTAAAAGGTCTGGTTTGTGATTGGCACTGCACTCTTGTGAGATTGGATCTATGTTTGGTGTCTCGGACATAGGTGTGACCCTTTGCTTTTCGTCCATTTCTAGCGCTTGTGTTGAAATCAATTGAAAATCAATAGTAAAACATCCTTGAAACCCTTTCTCAATCAAGGTTTTTTTTTACTTGGTTGCCAATTAATACGTCTCTCTAGAATCCTTGTCAAAACCAAGCAGAAACCCAAAACATATCACCGGCAGCTGGGAATCAAACCTACAAGATATCCGCTTACGAATCGTTTGCAAAAATCCATTTCAACATTGTATGAAAGACTATAACTACTTTTCAAAAAGCCATTCTCAACATCGACTGAGGAAGATTTGCGCCACTGGTTTCCACTTAATTTCCGCTTAAGTTGTGTTCAGTTAAACTATGGTTAGTTGTGGCCCAAAACACCGGTTTAAAACAATTTATGATTCATTAGTTTCCAGGTATATAAGAAACGTACAATTAGACTTTTCCAATATCAATGACTTTCCCATGTATGAGCAACATCCTGACCAACATGCAGCGAGTTGAGTTTTTTGTCCTGGTAGATTTGGACAGGCTTGAGCGCCAATGAAAGCCTGCCCAGGTTGATTTTAGTCAACAATGGTCATGGTCATGGTGTTTAGCTTCCTCCACCTTGCAAAACGATAGGGTGTCCAAGGAAAAACAATTCCCTATGTTCAATGTGTTATAACTGCGCCACTGATTTTTTCTGCAAGCGTGTGCTGTTTTTTGTAGTTCTGTGCCCAAATTGTGCCAGCAAATGTGACCACGTGCCATTCAGTGGTTTGACCACAATGTCCAGCAAAAGGTTGGGCACAGACCCGGTAGCAAATACGTACCCCATTTAGCTACTATCGTCGGACTGCCCAAAATGTCGGCAAACGCCTGCTGTTCAAACAATCCCAAAACTATACTGTACCTAAACGGCACTATGTTCTTTCACTTGTTTGGTCCGAGAAGTTAGTTGACCAGACCCAACCGGGGCCAATGTAAGGAGGTGTGGTTGACAACAGATCAGAAGAAGCGATTTGACATGACCGGTTGACGCATGCTCCCCACACAAATGATCCTCCTCCGGCTCCGATGACCTCCACTACTTGGGTGCGGTGTTCATTTAATATGTTAGCTCAACACAAGTCTTACAATCAGAACTTGCTGGGCAGTCATACAAAGTTACTAAGAGGTAGAATAGCACGAATCCATGGGGAAACAATAGGGTACCCAGGTATCCAAGATATAATGTTGACTCTTGATTTATAAACTCCCCCCCCCCTCAACAACCAAGGCCTCCAATATAATGTATAAGAAAATCAATCAATTGATAATTAAATAAGGAATCCTTAGCTAGCTACCTCTGGAGCTACTCTGGCAATATTAAAATAGAAGGGAATGAATCAATGGAAATAGAACTAACTTTTTAAATTTCAATGGAAATCTAAATCCAAAGACCTGCAATTTCAATGGTAAGTAAAGCAAATCAGAAGGCAAAGAAAAGGAATAAAGATTTAAAGCCTCAAATCTCTAGACATTATTCTAGGGGCCCCCCCCTAAATAATGTCAGAAAGCTGCTTGCTGGACTACCCCCTTTGCTTGAATGATGTTTTTGGTTTTTCAATACTTTTGAATAAGGGATTTTATAAAGAAAGTGCGCACTGACTTTTGGAAACTTTTGGAAAGCTTCAAACTAAAGAGCTTAGGAAAAGTAAATAAGGAATAGAGGGTGAGTAAAGCAAATCAAAAGGGAAAAAGTAAACTATAACAATAAAAAATATCCCACTACAACTACCCCTCCCAAAAAAAAATACATTATTCTGGGGGCCTTTATAAATCTGTGCAGAGAAAAAGTGACATTATTCTAGGGTCGTTTATAAATCAAAGGACCACATTAACGATACCCCCCTCTCAATGACCTCAGCGGCAAGTAAGGTTTTGACAATTGCAGAGTTAATGATATAGTATAACTGTATAACTTGTGCTTAGAAGCTTGCTAGTTTTACTCGGTTGCCAATTGACGCTCCTTATCCGCTGTCCGCCGTCCCGCTCCGCACCATCATAGGTAACCAATAAGATCAAAGATCAGAGTTGTATGCTATCGAGTGGCCTTTGTAAAGGATAATATTTTTCTTCTCCACACACTGTTTTATTCAAGTCTTCTGTTTGGAACAAGTTCTCCAAGCAGACAGCAACAAAAGAGATCAAAAGAGTGCTCGTCCGGAATTGCCCAAAAAGGTTGTGCAAAAACGTGGTTTTGGCAGGGTCTAGGGGGTTCTTATGCTAATTTACCTGTTAACATATCTTTTTACTGCACAATAGAATGCTCTCTTACGCAGCTTGTTTGGTGTCGACATACGCTGACTGCTGACTTCCTTGTTATTTTTGTTTGCCTTTAATTCTTCTCCACGACTCTAGGACTTACTTTTGAGCAAGGACGAGGTGCAAGAGTGGCTTGTCTTGATGCACTAGGTCAGCTGCTATATTCCAAGTCGCAACAATCAATCAAAAAGCGCAGCCATCCTGTAGTATGTCAGAGTGCAGTCAGACAAATAAATGGATGAACGTGAAGCAACCAATGGTGCCGTTGCATGCTTTGGTATTGCTTTGTTTGAGTTCAAGCTGCTACTAGAGGAATGGAGTCCAGTTGGCATTACATCGTCAAATTAGATTTGCTGTTTGCTGTTGTTGGCTGAGGCTTGTGGAGAATGGTGTTGTTGCGACGCATGGAACATCATAAGAAAATCGCTGCCTCAGTGCAATCAGTGCTCATTGAATCCAGTGAACAGCAAACGGTTGCAAAGGGTTTTTACAGAGCCTAAGGGTTCCCAAATCGACAATGCTCCCCAGGCCCTCAGGTTCCCTTGACCTTTAAAATCCCCTGCCCCGGCCCCCGCTATGATTTTTCCGCCCGCAGGAAGCAGCTTTATCCGCCACCTCGAGCTGAGGCCTCAATGATCGCCAAACCCCAATACCAACAAGACTAGATAATTTTGGGGGGGAAGTGAGATAAGTCGTGTAATCATGTAAGTATGAAAGCTGATCTATATTTTTTGCGAGAAGGGAGCTCTTTGCTTCATCACACAGCATTCATCCCCAAGATAGTCTGAAACTTGCAGATCGAGCCTCATTCTGCCTTCAAGAGAGTTTGGGATATCAAAGAGGGAAGACATGCAAGTATTTTGCACCAGCTTGGCCAGGATATGGATGCGTGAGATGTATTTCTTCTGCGAGTTGCTTTTGGATCCAGCTTTGCAATATTTTAAAGTGACTTCGCATGTACGGGGCCCACCATGTACGTGGAAGTTGATTTTCCCAAAGATGGGAAACGTGGGACCTGGCTGGTGCATGTTTGTTGCAGCTTGCACCCCTTGCAGCAGATTCCGTCACGGCATGTGTATGAATGCCCCAGTGCGACCGGCCCAATTCTTGCTTGGCCTTGGCATAGAGCAAAAGTCACTTTTCTTCTGAATGATTGTTTGTCATGTATGTACCCTTTCCATTTGTCGAGCATCCAAGTTACCTCTTGCAGTTCTGTTTGGATACGATCCATGGGATTATTGCATGGAGGCATCATAAGGCATGAGCAAGAGATTGCGACTGTGCGTGTGTGTCTATTTGGTTGTTTCGTGGATTGTTTCACATACTGTAATACTCAGTTGAAACTTTTGGATTTGCACTGCAGTTCTTTGCTCAGGCCTTCGCGCGTGCGCGTCGGCATTTGCATGTCTAGCAATGAAGTTTCTTCGGTTCCTGGTGATCGCACTTCCTTTTGGACAAGCTGCTAAATTTGTGGCTCATCCAGTGAATGTGGATGCTTTCGTGTCTTGGGTGCCATTGAAGAGACATCCAAAAGCAGCAAAGCACATCCAAGTGAAACGTCAAGTGTGCACTAGAAGCACCTGGTGTTTGCCATTGCTTTCCCGGCATTGACTTTGCATTGTCTAAGGATGATGGTGTGAATCACAACATTGACGTAGATGAAACATACTTTGAGGAGGAGGCTGCTCATGGGCCATGGGTTCCATGCCATGGGTCTTTGATTTTAGCCTGCAAGTCATTTGCATTGCCAAGAAACAGAAGGTCGAACCTTCATTGCACTTGAAATCACTATGACCTCCCAGTGGGTTTTTTCACGCACCTCAAAGTTGTTTCTCTTGGCAGGATGAAGTTGAAGCATCAGAGTTGAAGTTGGCAGAGCCGTGGCATCCATTCTGTTGCATGCTTCCTTAAGCTGACTTCGACTAATAGGAAAGAACTACAGCAGCCGGTGATGAAGTGGAAGTTTGATTAACGCACTGATGATTGATGATGCTGTTGCATGATGAGGCCCTTGGAGATGATGACTTGCTTGTCTATTATGATAGGATGGGGTGATATGGAGTGTCTGAGGGAGCAGTGTTGTGAGCAGTGTTAGTTCTCGAGTCCGGCGAAGTCGTATCTCGGAGTGCCGACTGTGCGAAGTCTTACACAATTCACAGGTTCCGACATGGTTCCAACGTGTTCATCTCATATTTTTATACAATTTTCTTGTGGTGGTTGTACTACTATGCTTAGTTCCAAGTAGACAAGCAACCGCAAACTGAAGCACGCCACCGCTTTGACCCTTCGATTGTTGAGCGAAGGACTTGTATTTTGGGAGAATCGGCACACCGGTTCCAGAGAAGTGACCAATTTGGGGTAACCAACATTCAACCAACACCTGCGGTAGAAGGTAATCAGGTAATGTTGAATCCCACCCAAAACATCCAATAACCAAACGTCTCGTAGAAAGCCCACTAGTCCGGCCAAACATGGAATGTGAAGAAACTTTGGCTATAATTTGGATCAATGCGTCTTTTGTCAAAACACTGCAAGAAAGCATAGTCCAAAGTCTACAACACCACTTAGGCACCCAGTAGCCTAACTTTGCACCACACAAGCTAGCTGCTTTTTGTGTTTTGGCTATGCCATGAAGTGCCACAGTATTCTGGTACAGACAATCCAAGCAAAGCATGGGTGCTGCATGGGTCTTTGTGACTGAGGAGAACAAGGATGCTCTTGATGATGACTCACAGAGCAATGCAACTGTAACTGCAATAACTTCACACAAGTGCTTTAAGGAATGGTACTTTCACATGTCATTCCATTTTGTACGAAGCAAGTGGATACTTGTATCACTACAGTATCGATTTGCTCCTTGAAAACCAAGAGTTGTGGGAGAGAGCCATTTTGGCAGACAGGTCTCACTTGAAGCATTATCCATTGTCCAGTTTCACCTTTCAAGCAATACCTGAGGTTGAGGGTCGTGCTTCGCATGATCTTAGTTCCAATGCCACCATCTCAGAGGAGACTCAACATGTTTTCACCTTGCCAAGCCCTTATTAGCATGTTCGCGGTGCTTTTAGCTGCATGTTGCTTGGGAATTTTGCTTGTCATAGTGTTTCCTTCGTTAGTTCTAGAGTGTATTCAAAAGTGCAGAAGTTGCCATTTCTTCCTCAGGAGAGCCAGGGCAGTGTAGATGATGAGGTGCAAAGCGACGCAACTTGTCAGCCTTTGCATTGCAACCAATTAAAGATCCATTTGAGCAACATTATCTCGCACTTGTCATGGGAATTGTTGCCCAAACAAAAGAAGTGCAAGCCCATTATTTGGTCACAGGTACGTGATTGAGGCAGGTTTCAGTTGAAGATGGGTGCCCAACATTGGAACTTTTGTCCAGTTTTACCTTTGAAACCCAACCTGAGGTTGAGGATCATGGTGCGCAAGATCTTAATTCTGATGCCACCATCTCAGAGGAGACCTGGATTTGAGGGTTTTGTCTCAGCAAAAACTCGCAACGCCCTTTTTCAGGCTACACGACTGCCCTCTGAAGTCCCACACCGATGGGTGGATTTCCCACATGTCCTTTCGCAAATGACAAACCGGGTGGACATGCTTTTTGATTAGTGTATTAGCTAGCTGCGCTGCACTTTTGGATGTGGCAATGTGCTGAAAATAGTTTGTGCATGCTTGTGCAAACCGACCCAAAAGATCACGCGACCCGAGAAGAAACCCCCGGCAGAGTGTGAGCCCTCGGATTCCTGAGTGCAGGGAGCTACCCGCAGGAAGAAACGGTGGCGGCGCCCGCAGCGGCACCCGCAGTGGCTATGGAGGCTCCAGAGGCTCCAGAGGCAAGGCGAAACGGTAGATGTTTTGGCTACACCTGGTTGTTCACCATGGCAGGAGGATGTGGACGAGCTTCGGCTGCAAACGGTGTATTCAGTCAAGTCATGTTGTTTTATCGGCAACTAACGAGCTCAACCGGAAATGATGGACTTTGAGCCTGACTGTTTACAGTAAACTTATGAGCCTCAACAAGCCTTGCAATAAGCCGTTCAGTGTCCATCGCGCGTGCAATTTGCTGGAGTGGGATTGAAACCAAAAGAACCGTTCCCAGGGGCGCCCGAGTGAATCTTGTCAGCACTAAAACCTCATGCATGGTTTAAACCGTTGACTTTTTGCTTTATGCATGATGGATCCCACGTTCAGCTCACACTTGTTGCTCCAAGCGCACACTCCTGTGCACACAAAAGGAAGAAGCTGATGTTCCGATGACTGAGACTTGTGCAGTTCTTGATGCATAGTAGCATAGGAAGCTACTAGGAACAAGTGCATCGCTACTAGTAACAAGTGCCTTACTAGTAGTAACAAGAAGCTACTAGGAACAAGTTGCTTGCAGTTCTTGATGCATAGTAGCATAGGAAGCTACTAGGAACAAGTGCATCGCTACTAGTAACAAGTGCCTTACTAGTAGTAACAAGAAGCTACTAGAAACAAGTGCCTTACTACTAGTAACAAAAAGAATTTAAGTAAAATTGTAATGACTAGCCAAGGAATGTTGTTTAGACTCCGAAGTCTAAGACTTAGGAAGCTACTAGGAACAAGTGCATCGCTACTAGAAACAAGTGCCTTACTAGTAGTAACAAGAAGCTACTAGGAACAAGTTGCTTGCAGTTCTTGATGCCTTAATTTTGAACCTGGGTTCCCAAAAGTGCATTTTACTAGAAGCACATAGCAGCATTGGAAGCCAGATGATGATGCATCCATTGTTGTAAGGTAAAAAATATTGATTTGATTGAGTCTTGCCTTTTGCAGATCGATGCTTTTTGAATTCACTTTGGTGTGAGGAACCCGCCCTGTTGCAAGAATCTGCCAGTGATCGAATCATTCCGCCAGAGAGACAGTACGTGGGCAGCCTCACTGACCCAAAGGCGCCGATATCGATGTTCTTTCATATTTACTATGCTCATACTTGTTTGATCTGGTTTGTGTATTGCTCAACTTCAATCAAACATGCCTAATACCAGCATCGACGCTAGGATCAATTTGCAGTCCGTGACTGGTTGATGTGTGTTGATGTTTGTGCGGCACAAAGTCTGAGACTGGTCAGTTGAGACATCTGCACAGGGCTGTAAGGCTTTTGCGTCCAAATCCCAAATTGGTCAAGATCATCCTTTCATGTGGACTACTGCAATTTTCCTGAAAGACACAAGGGCCGAGGGGCTTGCCCCAAAGTCTGTGATCCATCACATGTACTGACAAACTCAGGTGGAGCAACAAAGTCATGAACAAATGGATCAGCACCTTGATTGTTGCCCATGTCACTGCAGCGAGGCCCATCCATATGTCTACACATCCAGAGAAGCAGCAACAACCGCGTGTCAGCAGTTGGGCTATCGAGGACTATGCAGCAAAGGCCAAGTCGAAGGCCTTGATGATGGGAGGGATCAACCAGTCTTTGCCAGGTCCACAGTTGGACAATCTAGAAACCTTCAAAGGGGAAAGGTGAAACATAGAAACCTTCAAGAGAAGAAAACCTTTGCCCCGATGGTTTTAATAGCTTGGAATCAGCAACGTCAAAGGTCTCGACGGTCTCGACTTCATCAAAGCATGGAGGCAAAAAAAGCTTGTGACTTTTACACTCAAGTGAGATGTTGCGAAGCTACACCAAATCATGACTACAACTGTCCCCTTCTTTGCGTTCAGGATGGTCCAAATGCGCTTGGGGCTGGATGAGTGACTACAAAGGCTTTTGGTACAAAGAGACAAAGCAGTATTGTGGCCATGGCAAAGGGTGGCGCGACGGGAAAGATATCAAGAAGATGGGTGCCTACTGTTGCAACCTCGCCATGAATTCTTTGCACCTTGGGCAAAGATGCATTGTTGATTTTGCCTTGGGTTCACCCACACGTGTGTTCCGCAAATCCTGTTTGATTGCCAAGCACGCGCTGAGCTCAGCGGAGGTATATCGGAAGTTTGAGCAACCCAGAGGCCATGCGGCATCACCGCCAGCTATTGATGTCCAACGCAATAGGTCGCGCAGAGTTTAGCGCAGGTGGTCCAACTAGTTGACTAGCAGACTCTGCATTTGCAGCACTTGTGTATGTAGGGCCATGCAGAGGAGCAACCTTTGGTATCAGTATATGTGTTCATTGATGGTTTTTGTTTTTGCTCCACACACTATGTTCATGTCATTATTCAGCGGTGATGCCGGTCTTTATGTAGGCCGTAGGCTAATAACTGCCTTCCTTTGTTGTTGCTGCTTTTGGTTGGCTTCCTACTCCAGCCTGCTCCTCAGTTTGCCGCATGTTTGCTGCTGCTGTTCCAGCGGGTGGCGGCGCTTTTCATCTCGTTCTCGTGTTTGTCCTCGCTTTGCTGCTGTTCTTTCTATGTCAGGGTCAGCTATTGACTCGAAATGGTCTCAGCAAGTATTGAACACAACCAGGGTTCAAGGGGAGCTTTGATTAGCTTGGATGTGGGATCAGTCCAATAGCGCTGAATAACTAAACTAATCCATAGTCCATAGTGTTGATCTTTGACGTCGCATATTGAGTTTGCATTTATCCTTAGTGACCTTGACTCAAGCTTTGAGTATTGATACAGGTTCAAGATGGTTCAAGTATGAAAGAACAGTGCAGCTAGCGTCAGCTATGTATAGATTTACGCTTGCTTATGGCTTGTGCCCATGGGTCACTTGGTGTGGGCGTGCGATCATCGCGCGCAGAAACATCCCTATGTCTACAGCAGCAGAATAGAAGCAGAGGAGGCGTGCCACAAGGCAGGCTACCGTGGCCTTTGTTCAAAGTCGCAGATCGAAGGCTATGCCAGGTGCCTTCGCAGAATTACTTTGCCGGGGCACGGTTTATGATGGGGGACCCCCAGAATTACTATACCTTGCCTGCCTGTATTAAAGACGTGCTCACTGGCTGCTCCAGGCTTGTTGAGACCCAGTAGCAGTAGCATGCTCTAGCTGAGGTGTGCTGCTGGGTGGCTTTCTGACTCAAAAGGCTATTGGTTTGATCGTACAAAACATGGATGTGGCCACGGACGGGGCTTCAGGACAGAACTGATTGTCAGATTGCGAATAGTGTGATTTTGCCCGTGGTCTCCGAGTGCTGCAGGGGCACCGGATGTAGACAGATGGTGAAAGCATGCAAGACACCCAAGGGAAGTGACTGAAGCCCTTGGAAGGTGTCAGTCACACCAATTTCCCTGAAGTTTCCCTTGTTCAGGCATGTTGCGTCGGATTGCATATTTTTTTGTGGAGGTCTCCCGTAACGGAGGCTTTAAGGCTATATACTTCAAGAACCCTAAAGTTTACGCTTCTTACTCTGTTCCAACATGAC